TTTGGCGCTAGATTGGACATGCAGATATTATATGTTCAACAGTTTCATTGTGAATGTGACACAATCTGCATTTACCGTCATTCCTCGTTCTTGTGTATTGCTTGCTCAATGTAACGCGTTTCAAGGCTTGGTCTTGTGCTGCCACCAGCAAGCTTTCGGTTTCCCCTTTTAAATCTCCGTATTGTAACCATCCAAATGACAGTCTTAAGTCACCGGAAGCTCCTCCATTTGACGGATATGCTGTCCGTGTAGAGGCTTACTTCGCCATTTCTCTTCGACACATTGCTTCAAGTACAGTTTGATGGACCTGTTACCTCGCTCGACCGTATGTCCGGCTTCCGCAGCTTCTAATTTGATCTTATTACTACGCTTTACAATAGATCTATTTGTTGGTTTCCTATTGTCATGTGCTAGTAACATCTGTAGTAGGCGGTCTGTGCTCAGATCTGGTTTGAATATACTGCCCTACTGAGAAGATAGTATTGTTTACGTTTCTTCTATTTGCTTTAGTCCTCGTCCCCCTTTCTTTCGTGGCACGTATAATCTGTCGATGTCTGCTTTGGGATGAAGGATGTTATGTGTTGTCATTAGTTTTCTTGTTTTGCGATCCATTTGTCTTATGTCATCCAATGTCCAATTGATTATACCAAAGCTGTACTGCATGATTGGTATGGCAAGAGCTCCAATTGCTGTTATCTTGTTTCTAGACGTGAGTTGAGTTTGCAGAATTTTACGTACTCTCGTTATATACTCATGTCTAATATCAACTTTCAGTGAATCGTGGGTGATGTGTGGGCCTTCTTTAATTCCCAGGTACTTGTACACTCCGCCATGTTCTAGTGATTTGATCGTCTGTCCTTCATCAACTATTATATTAGCAGAGTCATAATGCATTCCTCTCCTGAAAGTGACTACAAGCGGACTTATCGAGACCGAAGCTCATCTGTATGTCGTCGCTAAATTTTTTTACAATATTGAGAGACGTTTTCAGTTTGTTTTGGCTGGGAGATATGAGCTTCAGGTCATCCATATATAGCAAATGGGAGAGACAATCATTTGCTCCTTTAAGTTGGTAACCTAGGTTGCCCTCGTTGAGCAGCGTACTTAAAGGAACCATCGCAATCACAAACAGAAGAGGTGACAAGGTATCACCTTGATATATACCTCTTTTTATCTGTATGGGTCCTAACTCTATTTCTTCCCCATTATTACTGACTAACAGGGTAGTACTCCATAGCGAAATCAATCGCTTACATAGATCAATGATCTTCTCAGATGTTCCTATAAGCTTCAGAGATTTCAGGAGCCAGCTGTGCGGGACGCTGTCGAATGCCTTTCTATAATCAATCCATCCAATGCTAAGATTTTTTTGTTCTCTTTACAATCTTCTACAATGGCTTTCGAGAGGAGTAGCTGATCCTTGCAACCAAAAGAGCCCTTGCCACAGCCTTTTTGTTCAGTTGGTATTATCTTATTATCATTTACATAATCAGATATTCTGCTGGCTACTACTTTAGTTAACAATTTGTACAAGGTGTTCAGACAGGTGATAGGCCTGTAATTTTTGGGGTCCTTACTATCTCCAGACTTTGGAAGAAGGTATGTTTTACCCTTTGGCAGCCAGTTCGGGATATCTGTTCCGTTATCGAAGTAACTATTATATATCATTGTTATTGTTTCGTGTGTAGACACTAGATGTTTCAGCCAGAAATTAGGTATCTGGTCTATACCAGGGGCTTTCCAATTTTGGGCCTGCTGCAGTGCTGATCTGACTTCCACGACACTGATATTTTGCCAGCTCATAGTTGTGGCTCTATCCTCCTTTCTACCTTTTTCAGCCACTTTGCGTTCTCGTTGTGGTTAACACTTTTCTCGAAAATACTTTTCCAATACGTTTCAGTTGTAGAGATGGTTGGAGCTTCAATAGGTTCCCTTTTTCCTTCTCGCAGCTCCCTATAAAATGCTTTGGGATTGACATTAAAGAGACTATTTTGTTTGTGCTGCTCTTGTCGATTCTTGTACCTTCTGAGTCTTTGAGCAGTGGCCGAGATTTGTTGTTTCATTACCTCTATCTTCTCTATTAGCGTTTTTCCTTCTGTGACGTATTTGTTTAACATCATCTTCCCTTTAGCCGACTCTGCGGACAGCCTGCCATTTTGTATGTGAACTAAATTCGATAAGTCTCTCCTGAGGCTCAAAACTTTATTACTTAGCCGCTTCTGCCAGTTAGGTGTTTGCTTTGGGGTCCCAGCTATTCTTCTTCGCGCTGTCGGTTTTACTAATTTTGACGTAATCACATATGCTGTAGCATAAATGAGGCAATCTATCTTTATTAGGTCTTTCTGTCCCATTGTTTGCAATATGTTGCTAACTATGCAGTTGCCTTCCTCGATGAGTCGCTTTGCTCTTTTACTAGTATATATTCTGGGCAGACAGTTACGTTCAGATATGCTTTTTTCAATCAGGCCTAAATATTTGTCCTTTATTTCTTTGTGCATGTCAGATTCTTCAACATGTTCTTCCGGTACCTGTGCGACATCGTGATGGTCTACTGTCTTTTCTCTATCGATCGTTTTCTTTAATGCTTTCAATCAGTTCATTTATGATTTCTTCTGATAACCTTTTATTCTGTTGGATGTACCTTCTTTGGTTTTGCAGTTTGTTTGCATCGATGTTAGTCTGGAGTCTGGGTTGCGCCTTCTCCACATCTTATAGACTGCAACATAGGTATTCCTATCAGTAAGCCTACAGTAATGATAACACCACATCACTTCTCTCAGCTCTTCTTCACTCCAGGGTATTCTTTTACCCCTGGTCTTTTCGGCTGAGATACTTGTTTCCAGTACTTCGAGTAGTCCACTTTGAGTTTCCTCCGTGTGGTGACTATCACGAAGTTGCGGTGTATCATCCCTTCTCTTGTCCAGGACTTGCCTCTGTGTGGAATCCTTTCGCGAGGCAGTATTATTATTATTATTATAATTATTAATATTATTATAATTATTGTTATTAATATTATTATTATAATTATTGTTATTATTATTATTATTATAATTATTATTATTATTACTATTATGATATTATTATTATTATATTATTAATTATTATTATATTATTATAATTATTGTTATTATAGTTATTATTATATTATGTTTATTATTAGTATAATGATTATGATTATAATTATATTATTATTATTATCCTTAATAATATTATTATAATTATTGTATTATTACTATTATAATAATATTATTATTACAATTATTATTATTATATTTTATTATAATAATATTGTAATTATTATTTATTATTATTATTATTATTATTGTTATTATAATTATTGTAATTAAATATTATTATATTATTGTATTATTATGATTATTATTATTAATATTGAATTATTATTTTTATTATTATTATTATTATTATTAATTATTAATTATTATTATTATTATTATTATTAAATTATTATATTATTATTATTATTATTATTATATATTATGCTTATGATTATTCTTATAATTATTCTTACTTATTGTTATTATTATTTTTTTTTTTTTTTTTTTCTCACAGCGGCGTCGACTGCAACGGTCATTGGCCGCACCCTCCTTCCCAATTTAGGGCATGGGTAAGGATATATCTGTACAGGGACACTCACTTCACGCCTCGGGGGACGATCAGGGCGACTTTTGTAAACACACACTACACAGGATAGTCCGCGGGCTGGTAGGTATTTGGGCACATAGGAAAAGACACGTAGGTTGGGTAAGCAATGTTATAATATTTAAATTGATCAATTAGGTCTCAAAAAAAAGAATATAATTTGCCGTTGCAGTTTTTTTTTTTTTTATTTTTTTAATTTTAATTTAATTATGCTTTGTTGAAATATATATATTTTTTTATTTATTTTTTTTTCTCTCTTTCTTACATTAGTTAGATTTTGTTGAACAGTCCAATGTTTCGTAGCTATTGTAAGATCGTTCTTACTTGCTCTGGCTCCATACTTAAGGCTTCGTTTAGGTTGCGTGAAATTTTATGTGACCATCTGTCAGCTTCATACAAGGGACAGTCAATTATAATATGCTCGATGTTTAATGGTAAATCACAGGCAAAACAGATTGGTGGAGGTTCACCAGTGAGTAGGTGAGCCGATGTCAGACGCGAATGCCCTATTCGTAGTCTTGTGTGAACGCTTTGCTCTCTCCGAGTAATTTGGTTAGTGTAAATGGTTTTTCCAATTTTTGGCTTCAATTCTTTGAGCTTAGCGGTGGTAGAGTCCCATTGAGATTGCCATTTTGATACTATTTGATGTTTGAACGTGGCTTTTAGGTCGCCAGGGCGTAGCAGTACATTTACGTCCGGGGGTTGCGTAGTTGATGCTTTTGCAGCGTTGTCAGCTAACTCGTTACCATTAATTCCGGTATGACTAGGGACCCATATAAACATAAGCTCAATAGCCTGTGATCGCAAATGCCCAATTTTTGCCTGTATTATCTTTATCAATGGATCTTTTGGATAAAGTTGTTGTAGTGCTTGTGTTGAGCTAAGTGAGTCAGTGCATATGATCGTCTTGTTGATACCCCGAATTTCAGTGTATAGGATGGCATGCCAAATTGAGTATAATTCAGCACTAAATACAGAGGCACATGTTGGCAGTGTCCATGAGTGGCAGATATTATTATGGACAAGAGCACATCCACAGCCATTCTCCGTCTTAGAACCATCCGTGTAAATGACGTTCCAGTTTGATATATTATATCATGAGTTCAAGTAATAAATCGTAATAAATCGTAATAAATAGTAATAAATCGTAATAAATCGTAATAAATCGTAATAAATCGTAATAAATCGTAATTATTCTTCAGTCCGGTCCACTAGAACACATATTGTAGAATGCGATTCGGTAACGAAGCGGGCCACCTGTGAAAAGTAACATGGATCCCCATCTCCAGACCCTGAGCTATACGAATATCTCATTATGCTTTTTGGTGCGAAGGAGTGTGGTCGCCTCTTGTTTACCTTTTTTGCGTGTTCACAATGTCGTCAAATAGGAAACGTGTGATTATAATTAAAGAAAAGTTGAAGAAATTAGAGGAAATCTCTACAAGTAAGTACGATGTTTATTATTGTTTTGTGTATCAGGGAAACGCGGTTATGGTGAAAATGGCCTTAGGCGTCATCTACCGACATGAAGAATTTGTTTTTAAATGATTTGTAGGCGAAATTTAGCATTCTACTCCTTGAAGGTTAATTTCTCGTACAAAACGGCCTTACTCGCCGTTTGATTCATCATGATAAAAATATGTTATTATCTAAAATGGCTTTACTCGCCATACATATGTATATGTATAACTAAAAAACAGCCTTGCTCGCTGTTTTTTGTAAGTTACTGCTTTTAGTAAATATCCCACATACCATTATGAGTCGAGGTAATTTGCTGTCTTTGCAAAATTACTAAGCAGAGTTTGAATAGCCTTTCTCGCTATTTAGACATATTGAATTAAAAATGAAAAACTGGCATTCTTGTTTCTTAGGTGGGAGTGACCAGGATATAGAACCCCGTACTTTCGGCCGCGTATTGAAGACATGCGTATATTATCAAACACAAAGTTTTGGGTGTTTCATTATTTTAAGTTAATAATATAAACATCTGAAATACGTGTTTAGCACAATTATCTGCAACTATCCGGATTATTGTTCTCAAATTTTATCAAAATAATGTCCATAAATTTATAGACAATCATACGTATACTGCGCGCTTCCTATTTGCAAACTTTCATTGTCTATTGTGCGCAAAAACTGTTTGATCACAATAAAAGTGCACATAATGTTCAAATAGTTTTCCTAGCCTAGTTAATAAAAACAAGAGACGAAAAAGGTTCCTTGTCAGTTCGCTACAATTGGTTGATACGATTAAGATTATCGGAAGAGTTCGATAATTGCATGCCCTAGTGTTAATGGTGACATGATCTATAAACAAAAGTATGCTATATTAGAGCTTTTAGAAAAAAGTCCACAGAAATATAAAAAGAAACTGCAAGCAGAGTTTGAATAGCCTTTCTCGCTATTTAGACATATTGAATTAAAAATGAAAAACTGGCATTCTTGTTTCTTAGGTGGGAGTGACCAGGATATAGAACCCCGTAGAAAGAGAATTCGCCGCATAAGTGTTTCCTCATCAGATTCGGTTCACAGCGATGTTAATCAGGGTAATATCGTAGAGGTCGATGTTCACAGAGAAGCAGAACTTTCTCCAATACCCTCTGATAAAATAGATAGTATAAATAAAATACTGGGAACTGATCCATCCATGCCTAAGGTTATGGGCAAGCCAGTGAGTGATCAGGTGGCCTCTAGGCTAAATTATTACGCAACCAATGGGATGTCTAGCGATGAAAAAGAAAAAATAAGACTCGCGTGGCCAACACCTGAAAACTGCCTCTCTTTCAACTCACCTACCTTAAATCCAGAGATTTTAGCACTTCTTTCGCCTACCGATCAGAAATAAGATTCGTTTATGTGTCATATTCAAAATGACATAGCTGGAAGCTTAAGTGCTTTATCATCAGTGATAAGCAAACTGTTAGATATAGCAGACCTCAGTAATGTTGTAAAAGAAATAATACCTGATCTAATGACAGCAGGAAAACTTCAGTGCAACGCCCATTTTCAGTTATCAATGCATCGCAGACATCAAGTCTATCCTCTTTTAAAATCTGACATGCAAAACTAGCCAAAGAATCTAAAATGGATAATTGTCTCTTTGGAAAAACATTCATGGAGAAATGTAAAATTAATCAAACTATAAATAAATCTGCAGTAGATCTGCAGGTGAGTAAAGTTCCTGCAAGCAGCCAAATCTTTAATAGGAGCCATTTAAACTGGCAGCGCCCCAAAATATCTGTACGTTTTCGGAAAAGTCAGTTTGTACTAAACAAGAGAAAGGAGCCTCGAATACAAGAGAGAAACAGAAATCAATGGAGATCATCGAGAGGGAACCTAGCCAGATACAATTACCGAAACCGACAAATTCAGTAGAGGTAAATGTTAACAATATTGCTTTATTTGCCGGTAGACTAAAGTATTTTCAAAAATCTTGGAAATCTATAACGAATGACAGATTTATTCTGAGCTGTATAACTGGCTACCGTTTACCATTTTTTCATACTCCTAACAGTTAGTCCTGCCAAAAACCAAAAGTTACAGTAAAATAGAATTTAAGAACCTTAAAGAAACAATCAATAAATTAGAAGCAATAGGCGCAATCAATTAATGCCAACCGTGTAAAAATCAATTTCTATCTTCATATTTTTTAGTACAGAAACCAGACGGAAATCAGAGATTTGTTATAAATCTAAAACAATTAAACAAATATGTAACAATCCAACACTTTAAAATGGAAAATTATAAAATTGTTAAAAATATAATTACCAACAGAGTATATATGGCCTCTCTAGACTTAAAGGACGCCTATTTCTGTATACCGATTTACAAAAAACATAGGAAATATTTAAGATTTACGTTTAACAAGGTTTTGTACGAATTCTCTTGCTTACCGTTCGGCCTCTGCTCTGCCCCTTATATTTTTACCAAACTATTAAAACCAGTTATTTTATTCTTACGAAACAAAGGTTTTATTCAGTTAATTATTTAGACGATTTATTATTGTTAGGGCATAGTATAGATCAGTGTCGGACGAATATAACCGTAACCACTTCACTCTTAGAACCCTTGGGTTTTGTTGTATATTACAAAAAGAGCCAATTAATACCCAGTAATATTTGCAAATTTTTAGGTTTTCTTTATGATAGCATAAACATGTGCATGACACTGCCAGCTAGCAAAAGACATGATACCTTGTTGAAAATTGACACATTTGTTAAGTTTAATAGTTGTAAAATAAGAGAGTTTGCAAGACTTTTAGGATACCTTATCTCGATTTGTCCTGCCATAAAATACGGTCTTATGCACACAAAATTCTTAGAAAGATATAAATATCTAGCATTGAAAAATTCGAATAACAATTATAACTCGCAAATGATAATAACAGTCAAAATAAAAAGAGAATTAAATTGGTGGATGACAGCAATTCCAAAATCACTTGTCTCGCTTAGGCCTCAGGATTATAAAGTGGTAATTTACTCCGACGCTTCAAATGTCGGATGGGGAGCCTCGGCAGGTCCAGAATCTACCCAGGGTTTTTGGAGTTTACAGGAATCTAAATTTCATATTAATTACCTTGAATTGCTAGCAGCCTATAATGCTCTAAGATGTTTTGCAAGAGACCTTAAAGACTGCTCCATTTTGTTAAAAGTTGACAATACCACCGCCATATCCTACATTAATCGTATGGGAGGTGTAAAATATAAGAAATTGTCCGAGTTGTCGAAAGCAATCTGGCAGTGGTGTGAGTCCAGAAATATATATATTTTTGCAACTTATATTGAATCTCTCGTAATGTGGTAGCTGATTTTGAATCAAGGTCGCTTAATTCAGAAACTGAATACGAGTTAAACTCTTTAGCTTTTAAGAAAATTGGCCTTTTGGCCTTCCTAACATCGATCTGTTCGCATCCCAGCTAAACAATAAATGTAAACAATTTATTTCCTGGAAAAAAGATCTGAAATCAATAGCTGTTGATGCTTTTACGATAAGTTGGTCAAATATATTTTTCTATGCATTCCCTCCTTTTTCTTTGATAATGAGAACGTTGAATAAAATTATCAAAGATGAGGGGGAGGCGATAATGGTGGTCCCTCTGTGGAGGGCACAACCTTGGTACCCAATTTTCAATAAGATTCTCAAGTCAAAATTGGTTTATTTAACTCCTAATAGAAATCTTTTATTATCTCCAAATAGGGAACCACATCCGCTTTGGCCAAAGCTTACCCTGGTGTCAGGAATTTTACCAGGGAAGCTCTTGCTCCAAGAAGACTGACGGAATCAGCTTTAGAAGTAGTTATCTCTTCATTAAATCCTAATACACTGAAACAATACAATACCGCCTATAAAAAATGGTGGGAATTTTGCATCCGTAGAGCAGTAGACTGCTTTGATCCCTCAACAGCAGATTTCGTTGATTTTCTAGATAATAGTTTTAAGGAGGGTGCTAGTTATACAACACTGAATACGTTTAGGTCATCTCTTAATTTAATTATAAATAAGGAAGTTGATGAGAAAGTTATTAGTAGGTACTTGAAAGGTGTTCCCAAAATATCAAGCAACTTGGGACCCAAATCCCGTAATTGCATATTTGTCATCTTTACATCCCTTTTCTTCCCTAAGCTTTGCAGACCTAACCTATAAGCTGGTTATGCTGTTCGCCTTAGGCACAGCACAAAGATTACAAACTTTTTCAAAAATTAAAATAGATAATATTTATCAAAGAACTGACTTCATAGAGATTTTAATACCGGATATCCTAAAAACATCAGGCCCCGGTAGGATCCAACCTAGACCGAGACTCCCCTTCTTTAGAGAGACCCCAGAGCTATGTCTATCTAGCACATTGATAGAATATTTAAGTAGAAGTCAGAACATAAGAAATAATATACGGGAGTTATTTTTGACCATTAAAAAACCGTACCATCCAGCCTCGACTCAAACTCTTTCCAGGTGGTTAAAGAAAATTCTAGGCCTGGCTGGAATAAATACTGGTACATTCTCTGGATACAGTACTAGGCATGCAGCTGTTTCTGCAGCCTACAGATCAGGTACTAACATTGAAACTATAAGAGCCACAGTAGGCTGGTCAGAACGGTCCAACGTGTTTTTTAAGTTTTATAACAGGCCGTTAGATAGCAGTTTTTTCATAAATAGCGTACTAGCTGGTACGGAAAACAAACAACTCAGGTCGTGCAGGGATTAATTACATTACTACCTACTAAAATATTGTGTTAGACTCTAGTTACGTTTGTTGGTCTATAACATATAGGTTTAGAATAAGGACGTTTCTATATCGTATGTTCTATTTCTTGTTACGTTGTTGTTATTGTATATAAACTAATTGTTAGTTGTTCTGCCATAATTAATATATATATAAAAAAAAAAAGTTAAGGAAATATATGAAAAATTTTTGTTCTCAAAATTTGTATTAAAATACTTCATATTCAATGCATATCTAATAATTTTATTATTCCTTAATTCCTCTTTATGTTATTACACAATGACATTTGCTAGCTCATTTAGTACTTTAAACATCTACAATATGTGTTCTAGTGGACCGGACTGAAGAATAATTTGAGATTAAACGACTTACCTAGTAAGGAAGTTCAATCGGAATTATTCGAGGTCCGGTCCACTAGAACACATCCCACCCCATCCTAGACGCGTAGTACCGCATACCAAAAAATAAAATGAATAGCAAATAAAAAGCATAATGAGATATTCGTATAGCTCAGGGTCTGGAGATGGGGATCCATGTTACTTTTCACAGGTGGCCCGCTTCGTTACCGAATCGCATTCTACAATATGTGTTCTAGTGGACCGGACCTCGAATAATTCCGATTGAACTTTCTTACTAGGTAAGTCGTTTAATCTCAAATAAATCGTAATAAATCGTAATAAATCGTAATAAATCGTAATAAATCGTAATAGATCGTGATAAATCGTAATAAATGGTAATAAATCGTAATAAATCGTAATAAACCGTAATAAATCGTGATAAATCGTAATAAATCGTAATAAATCGTAATAAATCGTGATAAATCGTGATAAATCGTGATAAATCGTAATAAATCGTAATAACTCGTGATAAATCGTAATAAATCGCAATAAATCGTAATAAATCGTAATAAATCGCGATAAATCGTAATAAATAGTAATAAATAGTAATAAATAGTAATAAATCGTAATAAATCGTAATAAATCGTAATAAATCGTAATAAATCGTAATAAATCGTAATAAACCGTAATAAATCGTAATAAATCGTAATAAATCGTGATAAATCGTGATAAATCGTAATGAGTCGCAATAAATCGTAATAAATCGTAATAAATCGTAATAAATCGTAATAAATCGTGATAAATCGTGATAAATCGTAATAATCGCAATAAATCGTAATAAATCGTGATAAATCGTGATAAATCGCGATAAACCGTAATAAATAGTAATAAATAGTAATAAATAGTAATAAATAGTAATAAATAGTAATAAATAGTAATAAATAGTAATAAATCGTAATAAATCGTAATAAATCGTAATAAATCGTAATAAATCGTAATAAATCGTAATAAATCGTAATAAATCGTAGTAAATCGTAATAAATCGTAATAAATCGTAATAAATCGTAATAAATCGTAATAAATCGTAATAAATCGTAATAAATCGTAATAAATCGTAATAAATCGTAATATCTCGTAATAAATCGTAATAAATCGAAATAAATCGTAATAAATCGTAATAAATCGTAATATATCGTAATATATCGTAATAAATCGTAATAAATCGTAATAAATCGTACTAAATAGTAATAAATCGTAATAAATGGTAATAAATCGTAATAAATC